TGTGGGCAGCTCCCTCCACTCCAGCATCTTCTTGTTCTCGTCTAAGCTGCAGATGAGCCACAGCCTTGAGGCCGAGAGATCTAACCTGGAGGAGGCAGGGATTAAAATGAAAGTTGTCCCCAGCCTGGGATTCATTTGCTATCTCCACTTTTCCTTCTCTAGGCTTCCTGCCCTGGCTCTTGTCTGAAGGAAGCAGCAAGGAAGTGGAGAGCTCACTGGTGTTGGAGAATGCTTGATTCTCCGCTGAAAGGCCTCTTGGAACCAGCTGGAGGCTCTGGTGACCTTGGGCCAACCCTGGGGCAATGTGCAGTGAGTGCTCTGGATGCAGAGGGGAGCTGGGTTGGAGAGGAAGATGGATCTGGACTCAAAAGTCAAGCAGAAGACTGGTCTCGGGGTGGTAGGACCGGTTCACACACTGAACCTGGCAAGTGGCCTAGAATTTCCTCTCAGCGCTGCCACCCACTGGCCCTGTGGCTTTGCATACCAGTGTCCTCAGCTATGAAACTGGACATTCGAAAGCAATGACCAATGAGGATGTGGCTTATTGTCTTTCTTGCTCTGAACACTGAGTTGAGTCTCATGATGCGTTTCCATTGGGGAAAAAAATGAAGTTATTCAAGCTGTCTTGGTAGAGCTAGCTGTCCAGTTTGGGTGTGTGTGTTCAGCAGTTGGTTTCTATTTTGGCATCACAAGGAAGCCTGTTGTGAGCAGTATTCTTTGAGGTGGATATTAAGACACTGGATTGTTATTTTAAAGGTGATGTACAGAGGGGTTACAGTTACAGAAGTCAGGTTTAGAGCACATTTCTTTTTGTACAATGTCACCCCTTCCTTCACTCTCTCCCAGTTTTTTCCCTCCCATACCTATCCACAAGTTGGATAGTTCATTTTTAACATAATATCTAGTATCACTGCTGCATTTGTTCACCCTTTCTCCTTCCATTTCTGTGTAATGCCCGCCCTTTACCCTCTCAGACAGATAAACACACAAGACAAAAAGAAAACAAAAACAGCAACAAAGAAAAAACTACTTCTTTCAATTTCTTGGGAGTTCTTTTTGGTAAGTATTATTTTATATGGTCAGTGCACACAGGCATTGCACCTTTGTGTTCCTTTCAGAATCCCTTCCTTTGGTTCCTTATTTTTAAATTCAAACTAACCTCAGATAATTTTCCCAAGAAAAATTCTCAAGACAGTATGTTTTCTTAACACTCAACTCCAAAGTATGGCTTCTCTTTATCAAACTGGAATGAAAAAATGCTACCAGGAAATCTTTGTGAATGAGTAATTCTGTCTGAAGTACCAGAGGAAAGAGCTCCCTTTTTGGAAGCTTGCAGGCTTTGTATGCACACAGATGTGTAGGAACACACACACACACACACACACACACACACACACACACACACACACACACACACACACACACACACACACACACACACACACACTGTATGGGAAAAGGAGGAATCCTGTTTTGTCTTTTTAACTCAAAGTTTAAAAATATGCTTGCTTACTCCTTACAACAAACTTGCAACTTTGCTTGCAACTCTGCACTTTAAATTGCAAAGTGAGTTAGCAAGCGTATTTTTAAAAACCAACTTCAGGAACAGAGAGCAAAAGTGAAGTAAAACAGTGTCATTTTTTTCTTTTTTTTGTCAGTTGTGGGGCTTGAATTCTGGGCCTGGGTGCTGTCCCTCAGCTCTTCAGCTCAAGGGTAGCGCTCTACCACTTGAGCCACAGTACCACTTCTGGTTTTCTAATGGTTTATTGGAGATAAGAGTCTCATGGACTTTCCTGCCCTGGCTGGCTTTGAACCGTGGTCCTCAGAACTCAGCCTTTTTTTTTTTTTGTTAGTCGTTGGGCCTGAACTCTAGGCCTGGGCACTATCCGTAAGTTCTTCAGCTCAAGGCTAGCACTCTACCACTTGAACCACAGTGCCACTTCCAGTGCTTATGTGGTGCTGAGGAATCAAACCCAGGGCCTCATGCATGCAAGGCAAGCACTCTACCACTGAGCCACCTTCCCAGCCCCATGTATGGTTTTTTTTGTTTGTTTGTTTTTGGGTCCGGTCGTGGGGCCTGAACTCTGGGCCTGGGCACTGTCCCTCAGCTCTTCAGCTCAAGGCTAGTGCTCTACCACCTGAGCCACAGCGCCACTTCCGGCTTTTTTTCTTTTTGCTTATGTGGTGCTGAGGAATCGAATCCAGGGCCTCAGGCATGCAAGGCAAGCGCTCTACCACTGAGCCACCTTCCCAGCCCAACACCATGTATGTTTTTAAAATCACATTTTTCCTAGTGCTATTGAGATTGTGAGAAAGAAAATGACCACTCTGCCAATGAATATGTAATTTGGAATAATTTCCTGGTGGGCAATTTGAGATATATCACATCATTAAAATTGACATTTTTTTTTATTTCCAATATCGTATCCTAAGGAAAAAAGCATAAGAATTTTTGATAACCTTCATTCTTAATTACTAACATTATATAGACTTTAAAATGATGTGTGGTTGTTTTGTGAGATTGCAATAGATTGTAAAAACTACAAAATATGATGCTCTATACCTACATTTATGTTTTTCAGTCATAGTAAATTCATTTCTTCTCTTAAGAAACATCACCAAGGCCAGGCACAATGGCTCATGCCTGTAATCCCAGCTACTCAGGAGGCTGGGATCTGAGGATCATGATTCAAAAGTCAGCCCCTGCAGGAAAAGCCCTTAAGACTTTTTTTTTTAAATCTCCAATTAGCCAAAAAGCCAAAAGCAGAGCTGTGGCTCCAATGGTAGAACACTAGCCTTGAGCACAAAAGCTCAAGGCTAGCACCTAGGGCTGGCACCAAGACAACAAAAAACTCCACCCAAACCCAAAAACCTAGTTTCACCAAACCATGCTGTCATTTTTGAAATTGCAAAATAAATGCTCTTTTTTGAGGAAAATATAAATAGGTATAGAAGAAAAGATACATTACCTTTTACCTATATACATATAGGTAATTTTCCTTCTGGATTATCTGAAATGTCTATATAGTTTTTGTGGACTTATAAGTATTTGTCACTAAGCTGGGCCTGGTAGCTCATGCCTGCAATCCTAGCTACTTGGGAGGCTGAGATTGTGTTTCTGAGGCCAGCCTAGGGAAAAAAAGTTAGCAAGATTCCATCTCAATCAGTAAAAATCTGGGTGCAATGGAGGCCACATCTGTCATCCCAGATATTCAGGAAGCATAAATAAGAGGATCGTGTTTCAGGCTAGTCTGGGCAGAAAATGAGACCCTATCAAGAAAATAAAAGCATAAAGGGCTGGGGGCAGGGGCATGATTCCAGTAGCAGAGTGCCTGCCTAGCAAGCATAAGGCCCTCAGTTCAAACACCTACCTGAGCTTGTTATTTCTTTGTTGTTATTTGCAGTTCTCCACTTTGCAAAATAGGAAGTGGTGGTTTGGGGGGGGGGGGAGAAGGGGGCGCAGGAGTGAGGGATTCCTTTGTCACACACACACACACACACAGAGCCAGCCTCTCTCCTGCTTGTATGGATGGGATCAGCATTCCTAACCTGGGACATGAGGCTGCACTTGTGATGGCTGACAGGCTCACCTGTCACTGAAGTAGGCTTTCCTTCTCTACTTTTCTTACTGAGGAACAATGCCTGCTTCTTTGTGAGCTCATGCCTTATCATATTCTCCATCACTTAGCCGTCCCTCCTCCTCCCCACCACCACACTGTGCATGGCCCCCTCTTCATGAGAGCCATTTCCCTGCCTTGAAATGAGTTTTTCTTCTATTTGGAGCTCACTGGCTAGAAAACTCAGGAAGGTAGAGGGTGGTGGTAACTTCTATTAGGGCCTTGGTGAGGAGAGCCTGAAAGCAGTAGCTGATGAATGGAAAATGGTCACTCTAGCAGAACTACCTGCTTTTGAACGGGATCTAGCTGTACCTGGAATGAACCATGTGTTCTCTGTAACTGTTTCAGAACACAGTGTGGGGTCCTTCCTAGTGGAGTTGCTATGCAGATACCATGAGTTTATGTACACAAAGAACTTAAGAGCTGTGTCTAGAACCAACCATTACATCAGCTATTGCTGCCATTTGCCTAAAAAAAAAAAAAAAAAAAAAAAAACTCTCTTCTGCACCGCTAGCAGTGACATTCATGAGACCTTATGATGCTTTTTTCCTCTCACATCCAGACACCATACTGTTATTCTATCTTAATACCTTTCCAATCCACCAACTTCTCTCCATCCTGCTTTCACCCTAGTAGAAACCATCATAGTCTTAAACAAGGCCAATAACTTCTTACATGGGCTTCCCTTACAATATCCCCTTGAATCCATTCTTCATAAGCAGATGTCCCCCACACTATAGTTCGTAGTGAAACACTCTGCTGCAAAACACCAAGATGCTTCCTACTGCCTTAGGGTACAGTGCAAATCTCCCTGCTAGGCTGAGGAGAGTCTTCACTTTCCATCCTCCCTATGGCCCCCAGCTCTTTCTGAATCACTGGCCCCTTAATGTAGGCTCCTGGTTGCTTCCATTGAGTTTGTACTCTACTCCACTTGCACCTGCAACAGGTAGCAATGCCACTTAAGACTCTGTGTATTGGCCCTTTGCCTCTCAACTCAGATGTCATTTCAGCCAGGGGTGCTCTCTTGCAGCCTCACCCTACCTTGTATGTCCCCGATCCTCTCATCAACACACACTTGTAACTGACCTCCTAGCCAATGTGTTATTTCACGTAGGTCCAAACTACAATGTCCAGGTTACTGTAGAGTCTGAGTACAGTGGCTGGCACTTTAAGATCACCAGAACAAGAGGCAGATTTCTACTGATGACGGTTGGTGGTCACCATCTCTGTGCCCTGAGCACCTCCTGGCTGATTCCTCCGTCTCGTCAGGCAGCCTCCCCCACAGTTACTGTTTCATCATTTCATGAGCTTTTGTCTACATGCACTTTTCAACACAGGGTTTCTACAAAAACTTTCTGGAAGGATCACATCTTCCACAGCTGGTTTCATAAGAATTTTTTTATTATTATTATTTAGAAATGCAGTTATATACATAGAACAATTAAAATTAAATTAAACTTTGTACAAATATTAAAATACTATCTTCACACCCACTGCAATGTACAGGATACCAAAAAATATATATATATAAAATAAAATAAAGCAAACCCAAACTGATTGAGTGACATCCTGCGCTGTCATTTCTGCATGTGTTGTTTTAATCCATGATACGAGTACCATTCTGCAAAGAATCCCATAGTGGTGCAACAACCAAAGGAAGCCAGGGCAGATATGGGTTCAACCACACAAACCATGACACTCTCCCTTTCCTACTCAGCAACCCAAGAGCTTGGCCTTAGCATCCTTTCTGGCTAGCTCTGCAGCTTGGTAGAGGGCTCACCATTGGGGGCTTTGTTCAAAATTCTACTGCTTTGAACTGGAAATTAAGTAAAGCTAATAAAGCCGAGCTTACCACCTTTCTCCTTCCAAGGAGTCAGAAATCAGAGCACTCAACCCAAATATCTGACAAGAAAAATATTCTCCAAGCTCTGCAGGAGACTTGGCAGGCCCCAGGAGAGAAACCCTGGCCTTGCTGCCCTTGGCAAACACATCTGGAAATAAGCCTCAACAACTGTATGCCACTTCCTTGTTGCCCCTCTTTGCTCTTTAAGAAGAGGAAATGGGGGGATGGAACCTCAAAATGTCTGCCCTAAATTCCATTCTCTATGCAAGGATGTTCCCAGAAACGGAGGTGACATTGTTAGGCAGGAAGCCAGTGTTTGAGCTCCAATGGGATTAAGAGGAAAAAGGCCAAGCGCCAATCTATCCCTAGTCCCCATTCATAAAGCAGGAAAAGTATACCTTTGTCTGTCTTGCCATCTGGCTTCTCCACAGAAATTTAAAGCTGAGGGTGGGCGTAGGAGGGCAAGGTGAATGAGGAAGATAGTATTACGGTGTATTTTTTTTCTTTCAAATGGAGTGCTTGTAGAGTGTACACTGAAATGCCTTATAAAACAAAACAAAGTGGCCAGGATTCAGCCCATTTCACAGTTTATATCCAGTGAAACAGGAACACAACATACAAATGACTACTTGCTAATAAACTAAGGCATGGGAGGGACGGAAATTTTAAGTGATTTTCACCATATTCTGGCCCTTGAAAGTTGATTAAGAGTGTGACTTTAAGTCACCAAGATATAAAACCTGCAAAAACAAAACCTGTGCCAAAACAAAAAACCAAAACAAAACCCACTCAAAACAACCTTTAGAAAAGTCCTTTGGTGCTGACCATCTCTTGGACAAGTCTTGTGTGGGATTCTCCTAGAGGTGAGCCCAGAAAAGCTGGGCTGTGGCTAGTTTCTTTGCTCTTGCTCCAGGTTCCTTCCCAACAGACTGCAACTTGCTACTTGTCCTGCCTCTCTAGCCAAGTCCCATCCCAAGGCATTTGTGGAGTCCCCAGCACTCTGCCAGGTATGAAGCCCCAAAGCCCCAGAAGCAGCAGCACATGGATGGTGATTAAACAAACAAACAAAAAAAAACAAAACAAACAACAACGACAACAACAACAACTGTTTGGGGCAATGGTGGGGGTGGGGTGGGAAGGGAGGAAACAACTGTAATCTTGTGAGCTGTGGTGCCCACACTAGCCAGTGAGCCTCCTCAAAACCAGTAAAAGAGAAGGTAGTGGAGTTCATTTGTACCAACTTCTTACTCCCTAGCAGATATACAAACCAGGGTTTGTAATCCCCAGAGCAGTTTAATAGATGGTGAGATGGAAGGAGGCACCAGGGAAAGGAAGGAGGTTCATGTAATCAAAGGCCAAGCCTATGTGGCTGAATAAACCTGAAACAAAGTGCAATCTCTTAGGGGGAAACACCCAGGTTAGAGATCGAAAAGGGTAGTAGGATTTTCCATTTTAAAACTGTTCTAGAATAGAAACCAGGTTTTGGAAGATAGGAGAATGTACATGGAAGGCTCAGCTCCCCACTTCTCCCTGCTTCCTTCTAGGAGAAAGAGGAAGGGTGCTATGAAGGTGAAAGAGAGCCATGTGTGGTAAGACAGCTGGGTCCTTGAACTCTCCCAGATGGGCCTATGCCAGCTCCCACTAAGAAGTTGAGTCTCACATCTCTCCAGGCTTGAGTTCGGCACCTTTTCTAGCCCTTTTCCTAGCCAACCATGCTTGGACTTTGGGCACAGGAGACAGGATTCCTGGATGGGGACATGTGGGAGTGGCCAGCAGGCACAGCAGGCACAGCCCTTACCCTGAGAGGAAAGAAGACAAGGGAAGCAGGAGGCCAGGATGACCAGAGAGTAAAGTGCGTTGTGAGGGTAGAGAGTGGTTGGCTGGGAGGAAACCATTCTCCTATCTTTGAGGCCACTTATACCTGGAGCTAACTCTGTTAAGTCAGGTACTGAAAATACAGTGGGCCTTTTATTTTTACTGTCCTAGAGAGGCTTTCAGGAGGAGCAGAGGTGCAGAACAGGGTCAGCTTCTAAGTTTCCCAGCCCCGCCGAGCTCAGGGACAAAAAAAGCAAAAGCAAACATTCCTTAATGCCACATCTATCTTCTGGAGATGGGAGCAGCCTGGCGAAGCTCAGCTGTCTAACCAGTTTAGCATTCAATGTGAAGCCGAAGAGGCCCATCACAGTGACTGGAGCATTTCCTTATCACCACAGCTCCCCCTCTCAGGGCCTATACTCCAAGCTTCATCCTAAAGGGGCTTTGGGAACCGGATGCTAGGCACCATCAGCTTATCTCAACTAGAAAGGCTAGGGGGCTGGGAGACTGTTTCTCAGCCCATCCCTCAGGGTTCAGGGAAGACAAGGAGTGGCCTGTCAGCAACAACATGCAAAGAGGCATAGGGAAGGGCAGAAGCAGGAAAAGCAGCGATGCAGTGGGCTACTTCCTGGGCACAGTTACTAAGGCACATGACCGTGGTGAGGAGGATCCTCAGGACCGGGCTGGAGCTGCCTGCAGCCACCAGGGGACTTAGTCTGTGCCTCTCAGCCTCCCCTCCATCACCACAAACCCAGAAACAGCCTGCCTGGACTGCCAAAGCCCAGATGAGCATTTGATGGTATTTTAGCAAATCTCAGGGCACTGTAGGCAGCAAAGAAACCAGAGCTGTCTAGGATGAAGCCCAGGGGGCCTCAAGCAACTTCCCTTCATCCAGGGAACAAAAAAAAAAAACAAAAAAACCAAACAAGCCAAGGCAGTCAATACTAGAAGCAGGAAGTGAGGACTTGCATATTAGGAAGACAGATATCAGACATCTTTCTCTCCCTTGAGATCTTCTGGATGCTTCTTGGAAATTCTCAACACAAATCAGGCCAGGAGCCCGCACCTGAGCTGGACATCTGGGTGCTGGGATGGCTTTGGCATAATTTTTCAAATCCACTATCCTTAGTCAAAAGAAATATGCTGACTGGAGTCAGTACAGGAAAAGCCCAGGGAGTCATACTCCTGAACCTAAAGAGAACCATTTAAGACCTCTCATTCTTGGATCTGCTTCTGCAAGGGGCAGCAATGCCAGCCCCAGGTCCAACCTGTATGCAGGTGGCCAGGAGCCACTAAGGCCTGTAGACAGCAACACACCTGCATGATAGGGAAACTGAACAGGGTGGGGAAAGGCACAAGTAAACACAGCAGCACTCAGGCCCACATAGCTATGGGGGCTGCTGCCAGAGAGTGCTAGCTGGAAGGGACCCAGAGGCTCAGGGGAAGGGAAGGTTCGATCCAGCACATTCAAATATGTCCCCAACAGATGGGAAGGCTGGGCCAGGCAAACAGCCAGCTTCTCTAGCTGTCTAGCAGGCAGATAGCAAGAATCTTCCTTGAGTTTCCAGCAAGGTGGCCTGCAGGCCCTCAGACAGATACAGATGGCAGCTTAGGTATCCTGGTGGGGTGACTGGAGTGGAGAAGGTGCTCCAACCCACAGGGAGAAGGAAGAAGGGCAGAGAGGATCCTCGCAGACAGGAGAGAGGCCAGCAGTAGCCCTCATGCTTCCTTCAACAGTGGAATATCTATAGGAAGACAAAGGAAAATCACAGTGGTTACTCAAACAGCTTTCTTCCCATACTACAAGGGGCCCATAGTTTGTGTGAACAAATAAAATGTCCTAATGGGGGGGGTGGGGGGTGGCGGCGGGGAGATGGGAAGGGTTGGGAAGGGGAAACAGAGGAGGAGACAACAATGTTTGATAAGCAATGTACTCATTACCTTGTCCATGTAATTGTAACCCCTCTGTACGGTATTTTCACACACACCAAAAAAAGTCCTAATCATACACACTTCTAGCTAGTCAGTTCCCTGTCTCTTTTCTAGCCCTTTCTGGCTCATCTTTCCTACTGCCTTTGTTATAAAGCCTCAACAGTCAGCCTGGTATCCAAACTCCTTTTGGTTCCATCAACATAAATATTCCTCTTTGCTGATCCGGTCATTTTCATTTTTCTCCTAGTCTCTCCATCTCCACTATACTTAAGTTCTTCCTCCTCCTTAAAGCTAGTTGTCAGCTTTGGGATCTTGGACAAATCACATTTCCTCTCTAAGTTTCAGTCTTATGTTAATTGGTAGTATTTGCTGGATGTTAGGCCTGTGATTCAAGCACCCAGCTTCCTATAACATCAGGCCCTGACATCTCAGGGATGGCCTGTTATTTTTATTTTATTTTATTTTTTTTGGGTCCGGTCGTGGGGCCTGAACTCTGGGCCTGGGCGCTGTCCATCAGCTCTTCAGCTCAAGGCTAGCGCTCTACCACTTGAGCCACAGCGCCACTTCCGGCTTTTATCTTATGTGGTGCTGAGGAATCGAACCCAGGGCCTCAAGCATGCAAGGCAAGTGCTCTACCACTGAGCCACCTTCCCAGTCCCAGGGATGGCCTGTTATAAACTCACTAACTTACTAACCTATGTGTCTTGTTTTCTGAATGCCTCATTATGATCCCTCCTTGATGATGATGATGATAACTATTATTATTGAGACAAAAACCTCACTGTGTAGCAGGTTGGCTTAAAATTCAGTGATCTTGCCTGAGTCTTCCAAAGGCTGGGATTGCAGGTGTGTGACACCATACCCACTAATCCTACATATATGCCCCAATTAACTGATTTTCCTTGCAGCAGAGTGTTTTCTGTTCCTTATTCAGCACCAAGTACAAGATGGGCTCTCAAAAATGCTTGTTCAAGCATCCTTAGCAAGTAGAAGATCAAGGCAGGTAGATCATGAACCCAGCCTAGACTACAAAATGAGGCCTTCTCTCAAAAGCAAAAACAAACCAAGGTGTGAGTTAGCAGAGGAGGAGTAGGGCACCTCAATGGCACCTTTGAGAGACAAGGGTTGCTATGATGTCCTTAGACATATCTGCTCATATGTGTGGCTGACCTCTCCAGGGCAGTCAGTGGCTTCCCTCATTCAAATCTGGATCAACTATTTAGTGGACCCTTTCCATGTCCTCTGACATTCTCCCCCCCCCCCCCCAAAAAAAAAAAAGAAAGAAAAAAAAGCAAGCTGTTGACTGAAAACCATAAACATGACCTACATTCAAAAATTTCCACCTTATAGACATGTATTTCACCCAGCACACTCAGGAAGCACAGTTTCTTCTAGGGCTCTTTTCTTAAAAGGTCTCATGAGCACAGAAAAAGCTACTGTCAGAGGGAGCTTCTAGGCTTAGTCTGCATCCTCAACTACACTGGGATTTCACTTAATTTCTTGTTTTTCTTGGCATTGCTGGGGCTTGAACTCAAGTCCTGGTGCTGTCCCTGAGCATTTTTGCTCAAGGCTACCACCATACTATTTGACCCACAGTTCCACTTCTGTTTCGGTTTTTGATTTTTAAGTAATTAACTGGAGATTAGAGTCTCATGGACTTTCTAGCCCCAGCTGGCTTCAAACCATGACCCTCAGATCTCATCCTCCAGAATAGCTAGGATTACAGGACTAAGCCACCACTGTCAGGAAGCAATAAATTCAGCCATAGGGCTGGCTTGCTGCTACAAAGGAGTTAGTGTTACCTAGAGATACCATGGTAGTGCAGGGTTAAAATGCAGGTTTTAGAGTCAGAACCAGGTGGTTTCATATCCTAGCTCTGTCATTCACCAGAAGGCAAGAGATTTGTCCCCCTTAGGCCTTAGTTCACCCATCTGTAAAGGGGACAATAGGTATTTATTATCTACACTCAGAATCATTGTGAGGTTAACTGAGAATATCAGAGTACCTGATTTACTCTTGTTTAGAAGAAAGCAGTTATCTACTCTGGGAGACATACAGGCTCCTGTTCTCTCTGTAATACAACCCCTGGTCTCCTGTCATTCCTGACTTTTCAGGAACATAAAAATTATAGCAATAGAATAGGTGCAACCCTATCCCTACTCAGCTGTCTATCTTTTGGTTTAGCAAAGTCCTATGGTCATAAATAATCTCAAAGAGTACAAACTCAAAATTCATAGATGACAATAAAGTGTCCCTACTTGACCCTAAGGATGAAATCCTGTTTTGTATGCTAATAGTATGGACACTGTTAAATTTTTGTTAAATATATGACAATTACTAGAGAGCTTTATAGTCTTTTCTCACTCCCAGCAAGGACTGTGAAAAACAGCTAACAATTCAAGTTCAGCACAGACCACCTACCGTCTGTGTACTCCTCCGATGTGAGGGATAAAAGGCTTTGTATGTCACTGTTCTCTGAGTCTGCAGTGTCTTTGTGTGCGAGTCGGCTGCTCCCTGATCCGGCCACCCAGGAAGAGGTGGTTGCCTGATGCACCATCACAGCTTCTGAGCCCCGGGAGCCCCAGGCTTCACACAGTCCTGACTGGCCAGGAGTCTCATCCTCCATACTGGCAGAGGAGCAGGCCCCTTGGACTTGCAGCTGCTGGTCTCTCGGCAGGCTCCTCCCACTGGGCCCAGATCCTTCTGACAGCACGATCTGCACTCTGGGGTCAGCAGGTGGCATACAGTGACCAGAACTGCCATACACAGCCTCTTCATATGAAGGTAATGCAACTTGAACGCCATCTACCATGATGGAGACCTGGTCCCCAGATACCCCCTGGTCACGCCTGGATCAGAGGAAGAAAAGACAAAAAAAGAATCAGAATAAACACACAGATAAGTAAACACCATCAATACCATCAAAAGCTGCCATTTTTTGAGCACTTAGTGTATTTTTAGTTATAGCACTGTTTTTTGTTTTGTTTTGTTTTTGTCAGTTATGGGGCCTGAACTCTGGGCCTGGGAGCTGTCCCTCAGCTCTTCAGCTCAAGGCGAGCACTTTAGGAGCCACAGTGCCACTTGCAGTTTTCTGGTGGTTTACTGGAGATAAGAGTCTCATGGACTTTCCTGCCCGGGCTGGCTTTGAACTGCAATCCTCAGATGTCAGCTTACTGAGTAGCTAGGATTACAGGCGTGAGTCACCAGCATCCAGCAACTAAGTGTTTTAAACATTTATCATACTAGATCCTCATCTGAGCCCACCAAAAAATTCAGAGAAGTAAGTTGGCCACAGCCACAGAACTGGTAAGACATGGGCTTGGAATTTTAATCCAGGTCTACCTACTTCCAGACACTGAGTACTACAGGCATCTGGACGTGTGTTCTGTGCAAATGCTAAGAACCTAGCAACCTTCAAACAGAGCCATTCATTCAACATAGCTGGGGTAAGAAGAGAGTACACACATGGCACAAACCATGCAGATCCTAAAACCACTTAATGTATACTTCAAATGGGTGCATTCTATGGTCTATGAATTATGCCGCCCTCTATAAAACTTTTAAAGAGCTGGGTGAGAAGACTGACATAGATAGAGTGAGAGGAAGGGGGTGAAGGGAGAGGGACAGGGCAAAAGAGAAAAGCACTATGGTCTTCAAATGGGATACTGGGCTGGAAATCAGAATTTCATACTTCTAAGCTTCTTTTGCCCTTTAAATAAACTTAAAAATATTAATTATAACACAAATACAGGGAAGAATGCATAGAAAAGTCTACAGACAGCTTACTGGTTTGTTTCAAAGGTAACGCTGATAGACAACTCTATCAAGGTGAGGCACTGCCCACTGCCCAGCTGCTGCCAGTGCCTGTCTCAGCCACTCCTCCTTTCTTACCATGCATGGAAATCACTCCTTTGGTCCCCCCGCCCCCTTTTTGGTACTATTGGAAGTATGAACTTGGGGCCTTATACTTGCAAGGCAGGGACTCTACTACTAGAACTATGCCCTTAGTTCTTTCAGTTTTAGTTATTTTTCATATTTTTCAGATAGGGTCTTGTGCTTTGTGCCCTGGCTGGCTTTAGACTGATTCTCATGCTTACAATTCCTCATAGCTGGGATAACAGGAAATGTACTACTACATTCCATTTTTTTTGGAGCTAAGTGCTGCTTTTTGTCAGGACTGGCCTCTAACCCCAATCCCCCTGATTACTGCCTCCCAACGAGAGATTGCAGACAATGCCCAGACATTCTTTTGCTTTTGCTTTTTAACAGTTTTATTACCTAAACATGAGTCTACCAACACTTGTAGTTTAGTAGTGCTGATCTTTCTCATCTATATATGAATGAGATACACAGTAAATCTGTGTGTAGATAAGCATGTCTCTGGCTTCTCTAATTCAATTTCATGTGAGAAATTGTGTCTGGGGAACATTCTTTTGCCTTGAGACAAGGGCTTGAGATATAGTCCAGGTTGGCCTTGAACTACAATCCTCCAGCTTACCCTACTGAATGATGGGATTACAAACATGTGCCATAATGCCCAGAAAGGTGTCACTTTTCTGGTTTGGGGTTTTTTTTTTTTTTTTTTTTTTTGGTTCTGGGGCCTGAACTCTGGGCCTTAGCACCATCCCTCAGCTCTTCAGCTCAAGGCTAGCATTTTACCACTTAAGCCACAGAGCCACTTCTAGCTTTTTTTTTTTTCTTTTCTGTTTATGTAGTGCTGAGGAATCGAACCAGGGCCTCATGCATGCAAGGCAAGCACTCTACCACTGAGCCACCTTCCCAGCCCCTCACTTTTTTTTTTTTTTTTAACTAGTCCTGAGGCTTGAACTCAGAATCTGGGCACTGCATTTGAGCTTCTTTTGCTCAAGGCTAGTACTTTTATCACTTGAGCCACAGTGCCACTTCTGGCCTTTTATGTTCATATGGCACTGAGGAATGGAACCCAGGGCTTCATGCATGCTAGGCAATCAATCTACCACTAAGCCACATTCTCATTCCCAATGCTCAGGTTTTGAAAGGAGGGAAACTGATAGCAGTAGAGCTAAGAAGCAGTGGTATACCTGGCACGTGTCTACCTTATGTTATTCAAAATAAGTTGTTACTACATAAAAAGGAACACATGTACATGGTATGAAATAAAAATTTAAATGGGGGGGGGTCTATAATAAAAACCAAACCTCTCTTCTACTCAGGCAAAAAATCAACTGGTTACTTTTAACAGACATATTGGCTAACTATAGAGGAAATAAAACTCCCTAGCATACATGAAATGCAGATTATATAGGTCTGACTTCATGTGGAAACAGCTGATTTTTTAAGTAAACACCCCCTTTTGAATTATTTTTCTTTTATTAACAAGCTTTAAAAATAACAGCTACATTATCCCTCCAAACAAAATAAAAGGAAGAAAAAAAAATCACAAACTGTACAAAAAACCTAAATTTAGACTGGTCCTTGTCTTAAAGTTCTAAACCGGGAGAATTTTACTGAACGTAGTTTACTTTGGAGCCTCTTCACCTGTGGACCACAACAGTGACTGATGTAGAACTATGACTAAATATAAAAGATGTACTCCTCAGAGAGAGAGGGACAGAGAGACTAACACCTCAGGAGCCAAGACAATGTGGGAGGGAAGTCCACGACTAGTGATGCAGTCAGGGCCAGGGCCACTCCCATCAGGGCCTCACCTCTATTTCCCCTCCCCTAAACTTGCCACCTTACCCACCCTAGACTGGGATAATTCATAGATAGTGCACTACTGGGGAAAAGGAGACTGATAAATGGGCAAAAAACCCTCACTTCCTTCATTAAAACTACCTGAGAAGCTTTCTATGAAAGGCTAAAGCTAGAGTCCTATCTAAACCAAATAAATCAGAATGTTCGTCAGAGCTGCCCAGGTACAGCAAGTATTAGAACCAGGAATTAGGGTAGTAGCTCAAAAATATGGGCATGTGTCAGCATTACTTACTTGGAGGGCTGTAAACCCTATCCCTGCAGGTCTGGGCCTAAAAGCACACATTCCTAACAAGTTCCTGGTAATGCCAATGCTTCTGGAACAATACCATGAATACCACTGATAAAGAGGAAATGACACTGCTTTGGAGTTGAGAAGATTTAGATTCACAACTGAGCCAGCTCTATTGTCCTAAGGTATGACCCTGAATGCATGACTCAACTTCCCTTAGCCTCAGTGTTTTGTCTATAATGCTCCTGTGAGGATTTAGGTAATATGAATCAACAAGCACAGTGCCAGGAGTTTAACACATGGCAGGGCCTTCTCCTTCTGTTACCCAGGACACACAGACCAGTAGAGGGAGGTACACCACCAGCCTTCTGCAGTTAATCCAAGACTGGACCCACAGGGATGCTTGCGCTGCCTACCCCAAAGCAGCACTGGGTTTACCTGCTATGATGGAAAGACTTCAGCTTTGGCTGCAGCAGCACAAACAGCACCACGAGGAGGAGAATGAGTGCCACAGAGCTGGCAGTGGAAGCCACTATTGACAGTGCAGGGACTCCAAGTGATGTGTGGGTTTCTTTGTCTACGGAAAACAAGTCATTGCCAGATGCAGATTTTATCCAGATACACAAAAATGGGCCCCAGAGCTGATGCAGTCAAATACCCCATGCACAGTGCTATAGAGATAATTCACAGCCTCGTCTTTTCAGGAAGACAGCATGAAGCAACCTATGTACACATGCTGCTCTTGGAAGGTTTCCTCTCCTGCTTCCTGAATAAGAAATCCCCCTCACTTTTAGTTATTGAGGTCCATATTATAACTAAACTCATTTAACCCAGGGGATCTTACCTTTATAAACCACTCTGATCACACTCTCAATAGCACCCTGGTGAACGTGTCATTGTACTATCTCATGTTCCATCACGCTTTCCCCCATGTGACAGGATAACTATGTGGTAAGTCCATCTTTATCCTCAGCCTTTGTTGTAAATCTCAAATTAGTTTCTGCCTTCTTTTTATGTGTCCTGAGTTAAATATGCTCAGGTACAGAAGCCCAAATATGGAACCTGAAGATGACTATATAATATACACTTCCTATCAAGCATCTAGCTTTTACTGTCATGTAAGACAAGATGGGAGAGGGGCTTCTGTCCAGCTGGACTGTTGCTCCATAACAAAATAGTCCCTTTCCATTCAAGGAAAAATGAAATGAGAGACCCCAGAGAAGGTGTTAGCATTGTGCTCGCTGTGCTAGTAAAATGTTGCCAAGGTCACCAGTACTTGTCTAGGAAAACAAGAGTTCCTGAACATCCAAGGAACTTTATATAGCAGGGCAGATGCCTCAGTAAAGACACAGAGCCCTTTAGAGGATCAGTGGAATGCAAGGTGACATGCACCAGCAACCCCAATGTCTTTCACAAAAACATGAAATCCCAAAGGATTGAGGCTACAGGGCTGCAGTACAGCCAAGGGCACTCTGTACATAGCACGCACTACTCCACAGAAATTGAAAGAAAGCAGAACCCAGAACCCAGACAGATCCCCAACCCCTTTCTTACTTAACGACTCACCCTCATTGAGGTGGCAGCTAATCTCCATGGCTGGCTTCCACTCGCCATCCTTACAGGTCAAGTATTTGTAGTCGCCCTTTAACATGTAGCCTTCTGCACACAGGTACTCAATGACACTGCCCGCTGTCAAGGGGTCTCTGCAGGGTTGAGGGTGACAGATGTAGCCACCATTCTCTGGCTCTGGAGGCAAGGGACACACTGCAAACACAGAATGGTAGTACTATAGTGAGGCTTTCAACTGGAGTCTTCTCAGTGATACAGCTCTGAAGACCTCAACAAGAAGCACATGAGCCATCTCTTAGAGAAGGCTGTTGACCAAACTCTGGAATTCTGGTTTTCAAAGGCAGAGAGGGAAGTCTGCTGGCAACAAGAAAGTCTTGCCACTTATAATACTTCCCTATCATGCCTGAAGAAAACTGTATCTACAACTTAACAACAGACTCTAACAAAGTCCTGAGCCTATTGCAATGGAGTCCTGGTTTTGTTTGGTTTTGTTTTGGCGAGTTCTGGGGCTTGAATTCAGGGCCTGGGCACTATCCCTGAGCTTTTTGCTCAAAGCTAGCACTCTACCACTTGAGTCACAGCACCACTTCTGGCCTTTTCTGTTTAGGTGGTGCTGAGGAATGGAACTCAGGGCTTCATGCATACTAGGCAAGCCACACTACCACTAAGTCACATTCCCAGTCCCAGAGTTCTGGTTTTAATAAAACCTACTAACATAATGAGTCAAAGTGAGAGGAGATAAAATACTGCTAATAAGCATGAGGGACAAGTATTAGCTTGTTTCTGACATCAAGGCCAGAAAAGACTCCATAGTATAATAAAAATGTACATTTCATCTCAGTGGGGATTTCTGATATTTTTTTCTGGGGATTTCCCAAGCTCCACAAACATTACATCCTCTGACAGGCATCATTTTTTTCTTTTTTTCTTTTGTGTCAGTTGTGGAGCCTGAACTCTGGGCCTGGGTACTGTCCCTCAGCTCTAAGGTCAAGGCGAGCACTCCACCACTTGAGCCACAGCGCCACTCCTGGCTTTTTCTGTTTATGTGGTGCTGGGGAATCGAACCCAGGGCCTCATGCATGCAAGGCAAGCACTCTAACACTGACAGTGCTAGGCCTAGAGTTCAAGCCCCACAACCCACCCCCCCCCCCCCAAAAAAAAGATATTGAAAGGAAGGATGGCTAGGGGAAGGCTTTCCTGGGAACACTTTAGAAAGAGGCAAGCCCTAGCTCCATGGCTGTCACTAATCATGAGCACAGTGGAGGTGGTTTTCTAAATGTGCTCCTGGGTCCTAATTCCAGTAAACAATCTCTACACATAGCTTTCCAGGAGGGCGATGGATGTAAATGGGACAGAGCCATGCCAAGAGTTTATAATCTGTAGAGGACACATACACTGCCAACTTTTAACATAAATCAGAGATACAATGCAAATGGCTCAAATGCAAGCTTTTTTATTGATTCAAGCTGTTCTGGGCAGAGAAGGGCCTAGGACAAAGAAGAGAAACAGGCAAAAATTATGAGAGGAAAGTGGAAGAGGTAATTTTAAGTTTTCTTATAGGCAGATTAAAAGATAAAGTTAATTTTAATAATGTATTTAACCTGATAAAGGCTTATGTCATTATAAATCCATCAAAAATCAAAACACCAATGAAAATAGTATGGAAAATAGTATGGAGATTCCTTAAAAAAATGGAAACAGGATTACTATAAGACTTAGCACTCTTGCTACTGGATATATATCTACATGAAAACTAAATCAATATACTGAACAGGCATCTGGAATCCCACGTTCATTGAAGCAGTATATACACTTGTGAAGAAATGGAAGTAACCTAAGTATCCATCAGCTGATAAATAAAGGAAATATAGTACATAAATACAACAGAACACTATTTAGCCATAAAAATGATGTCATAAAAATTGTCATGAAATTGGGATTAACAAGCTAACATGGACTGGTATGGTGACACATTCCTATAATTCCAGCAATCAGGAAGCTGAAGCTAGGGATACATCATGAGTTCTAGGACAACCTGGGCTATGTAGCGAGATCCTGTCAAAACAAACAAAACAAAACAATGACAGCAAAAGAAAAACAAGGGTGGATGGCTCATGCCTATAATACTAGCAGCTATTTGGGAGGCTGAGATAGAATTGCTGTTCTAAGCCAGTCAGGGCAAAAAAAATCTCCAAGACTTGCCATGATGGTGTGTACAGGTGTCATCCCAGCAAGGATAGGAAGCTAAAACAGGCCGATTATGCTCCAACTGCAGACTGGGGCAAAAAGTGAGATACCTCAAAAATAACCAGAACACAGATCAGTGGGACAGCACATGCCTAGCAAACAGGAAGACTGAGTTCAAACCCTAGTACTACCAGAGAAAGAGAAAGTGAGAGAGATGGGGGAAGGGGAAGATGTGGAAAGAAGATAGTATTTGAAACTGAGGGCCCCTTAAGACTGTTTAGGAAAAGACCTTATATGCTTGGTTTCAAAATCCTTTCTTGGCATATGAAGATCCAAATTTTTACTTTTAGCCCCAATGGCCTATTAGGAGCAGAGGCACAGGAAAGGAGGGAGAGGGGCTGGGAAGGTAGCTCAGTGGTAGAGCGCTTGCCTTGCATGCATGAGGCCCTGGGTTCGATTCCTAAGCACCACACAAGCAGAAAAAGCCAGAAGTGGTGCTGTGGCTCAAGTGGGAGAGCTCTAGCCTTGAGATGAAGAGCTGAGGGACAGCGCCCAGGCCCAGACATCGGGTCCCAAGACCAGCAAAAAAAAAAAAAAAAGGTCAGGGAGAACACAAAGAACAATGGCTTACACCTGAGTTTGTTGTTTTGAACCTAACAAGGAAAACAGCAGTTACTGGAAATTACTGTCATTGTTCTAAGCATTCTCTTGAGTTAGCTCTACATGAAGCAAGTACTCCTCTCATTTTATAAACGAGGACATTGGCTCAACTGACTTGGGTAATTTTCCCCAAGGCACACATATAAATGCTGTGTTCAAAGGAAAGGTAGTGCTCCTTCCAGACAAATACAAATATAGGAGGAGAGGGGGGGCAGGGAGGAATGGCTGGCTGATTGTCATCAAAAGGTATTTTTCTAAGGAAGCCTTAAAAACTCAGTAATAACAGTTCATGCTCATTGACTACTATATGCCAGGCACTATTTTAAGCATTTGACAAATTTAAAGCTGTGTGTGCATGCGCGCATGTACACATGCACTCATGTGTGCACATGCTCATGTCCATGCTAAAGCTGACTGGGTACTAGCCTCACTACTTCTCTGAGGTTCACTTGTTAAAGTCCTGCAGACATGTAGTTTTGAACAGAGCACAGGACATGAGGGGCTAGAAAAGGATCCTGTTGATTCAGGAAAAAAGGGAAAAGTTCCATTACTTAGGAGACATCCAGGGCTGCTTTTGCATGGCTCTCTTGGACTTCTGCCTTCCTGACCCTCAAGTCAAATAGTCAAAAGTCTACAACAGGCTGCAGTGAGAGATTTCTCATGTCATTTGCAAGCAGCCAGACAGGAAGCCCATTGTCCAGTAAGAATCCCTTTTCTCGCCGGGCGCTGGTGGCTCACGCCTGTAATCCTAGCTACTCAGGAGGCTGAGATCTGAGGATCGCTGTTCAAAGCCAGCCCGGGCAAGAAAGACTGTGAGACTCCTATCTCCAATAAACCACCAGAAAACCGGAAGTGGTGCTGTAGCTCAAGTGGTAGAGCACTCGCCTTGAGCTGAAGAGCTGAGGGACAGCGCCCAGGCCCAGAGTTCAAGCCCCACGGCCGACAAAAAAAAAAAAAAAAAAAAAAAAAGAATCCCTTTTCTCATGAGAACTTCCCACACACTGGGTAGAGGGCCAACTAGTAGTAGCTTAAGTCTTTCTTGGGGTATGGGACTGGTGCTGGAGTGGGAGAACACAGGGAGAAATCACCCTGGCATAGGCTGCTTTTTGTTGTTCTTCTCGGTCCCCAACCCCATTTTCTTAAGAGAAGCTCAGTTTAAAACTTACTTTGGGAAATCAGTAAATGACAGGAGTCTGTCTGGCCCAAAGCCTGTCTGTCTTGTTTTAGAAGGTCCTTCACTCTCTACTCATAGCCAATAGTCTCAGAGGCAGTAAGAAGGAAGAATGTTTTCTTTGTTTGTATGGAAGCTCTTGTCACCTGGATATAGCCACAAAAGTCCTTAATCACTTGGAGAAAAGTGTATTTCCCTCTACTTGGCCTGGATCCCTACCTGAAGCACACAAAGTCACCCTTCTCCATATCAAGTTTCCAAGACCACCTACCCCAGGACAACTTTCCAGTCATCACTAGACAGAACATCAGAGAGCTTGCTAGCAACGGATACAGAATTAGACGCTCAGCTTGCATGCTGCCCTAATATTAGTTACACTGTACAAGCTCAGGGAGATCTTCTATTCCTCAATTTCCTCATCTGAAGCAGGATACAAAAGGTATGTATTTCACATAGTTTCTATGTTGATTAATCACAATAATGCAGGACTAGTATCTGGTACTGTCTGTCATATGTTAAATGTAACTTTGTCTTCTTTGTTCCCATACACTATCATTACTCTCTGTAGACTACTACCATATTGTTGGCTCAGCACTTACTTTCAAACACGTGGTCCTCCTCCCCATTTCTCCACTAAAGGCCTATTCACACTGTATGGAAGGGGCTTGTTGCCTCAGTTTATTATTATTATTATTAGCATTATCATCATTATTATTATGCAAGTCCTGGAACTTGAACTCAGGGACTAGGCACTGTCTCTGAGCTTCTTTTGCTCAATGCTAGCAATCTACCACTTGAGCACCATTTCTGGATTTTCCTGTTTATGTGGTACTGAGGAATTGAACCCAGGGCTTCATTCATGCTAGGCAAGTACTCTACCACCATCACCTCAGTTTTGTACTTTTAGTACTTGACATAGAATCTAGCAGGGAGTAGATGCTTAAGATAGTAGCTGCATGGTGCTTGCTATATTTTAGACACTTGCAAATTATGTCTTATTTTTAATGACAATGGGCCACAAAGTTTTCTGATTTGGGATGAGTTAAATAACAACAAAGAAATTCTTCCTCCAGGGTTTACTTCTTATTCTCTAACTTGGTATCTAACTATAAAAATATACTCTCGGAGCCGGGCGCTGGTGGCTCACGCCTGTAATCCTAGCTACTCAGGAGGCTGA